GATATCTCATTGTGGTTTTGATTTGCATTTCCCTGATAATTAGTGACGTTCAGCATCCTTTCATGTACCTGTTGGTTGTTTTCTTTGGCAAAATGTCTATTCATTTCCTCCACTCAGGTTTGTTTTTTTTTAAGATTTTACTGGGGAATTGGGGGAGGGAACAGTCAAGTTGTTGTCCTTCAATCTTAGTTGTGAAGGGTGCAGCTATCTCAGCTCCAAGTCCAGTTGCCATCCGGCAGCCTGTTGGCAGCTCACGGCCGCTCAGCTCAAGGTGCCGTGTTCAATCTTAGTTGCAGGTGGGTGTAGCCCACCATCTCATGTGGGAGTCAAACCGGCAACCTTGTTGTTAGGAGCACATGCTCTCACCAGCTGAGCCATCCTGCCACCTGTTGGCCGCTCAGCAGCTGCTCAGCTCAGGTGCAGCTCACTGGCCCATTTGCCCATTTGGGAATCAAATCAGCGACCCTGCTGCTCAGAGCTCACGCTCCTAACCAACTGAGCCACTCGGCCGGCCTCCGTCTACTCAGTTTTTTAACTAGATTGCTTTTATTGTTATTGAGTTATATGAGTTCCTTATATATTTTGAATATTAACTCCTTATCAGTTATATGATTTGCATATATTTTCTATAAATTGGTTTTTCACTTTGTTGATTGTTTCCTTTGCTGCATATAAGATTTTTAGTTTAATGTAGTCTCATTTATTTTTCCTTCTGTTGCTTGTGCTTTTGTTGTAGCCAAAAAATCATCACCAAGACCAATATCAAACAACTTTTCCCCCAGTGTTTTCTTCTAGGAGTTTTACTGTTTCAGGCCTTATGTTTAAGTCTTTCATCCACTTTGAGCTAATCTTTGTGAGTAGTATAAGATAGGGGTTCAGTTCAATTCATGTGATTATCCGGTTTTCCCAGCACCATTTATTGAAAAGATTATCCTTTCCCCATGGAGTATTTCTGGCTCCCTTATCAAATATTAGTTGTCTGTATATGCCAGGGTTTATTTCTAGGCCCTTGATTCTGTTCCATTGATCCATGTGTCTACTTTTATGCCAGTACTATATACTGTTTTGATTACTGTAATTTTATTAGTATTTTATTAGTATTAGTATTTTTTGATACTATTATGAATGGGATTGTTTCCTTTGTTTTTCAGCTATTTTACTGTTAATGTATAGAAACACAATTGATTTCCACATGTTGATTTTGTATCCTGCAACTTTAGTGAATTTACTGATTAGCTCTAACAGTTGTTTGTTTGTTTGTTTGTTTGTTTGTTTGTTTGTTTTGTTTTTGGTGGAGTCTTTAATATTTTCTATATATGAGATGGTACCTGCAAACAAAGACAATTTTATTTCTTTCTTTCCGATTTAGATCCTTTTTTTTTTTTAAAGATTTTTATTGGGAAATTGGGGGAAGGGGAACAGACAAGTTGCTGTCTTTTTGTTCTTCAGTCTAGTTGTGGAGGACGTTGCTTCACTGGCCCAAGTTGGCACCATCATTGCACTCTTCCCGGGCGAGGCACATCAGTCGCTGGCTTCTGGACAGCCGCTCAAGGCGGCTTGAGGGCCGCTCACGCTGGCTGCTGGCTACACATGGTAGCCCATGGCAACCCACTGCAGCAGGGGCTGCAGCCTACGCCGTCGACTCACAGCAGCCCAGCTCCAGGTTTAGCTGTTGTTCAGCATCTTAGCTGTAGAGGGCAGCGTCACTGGCCCTCATATGTGTGATCTGAACCGGGGCCCTCTGGCGTCCCAAGCCAGTTCTTAACCAACGCACCACTTGGCCGGTCCTGGATTTAGATCCTTTCTTTTCTTTTTCTTACCTGATTGCTTTGGCATGGACTTCCAGTACTAATTTGAATACGAGTGAAGAGAATAGACACCTTGTTGTGTTCTTTATCTTAGAAGGAAAGCTTTCAACCTTTCATTTTTTATTACGATGTTAGCTGTGGGTTTGTCATATACTCGTATGTATGCCTTTATCATGTTGAGGTATGTTCCTTTTATACCCAATTTATTGAGAATTTTTATTATGAAAGGATGCTGTATTTTGTCAAATGCTTTTTCTGCAAGTATTGAGATGATCATAATATTTTTAGCTTATTCTGTAAATATGGTGTATTACATGATTGAATTGTTTATGTTATACTGTCCTTGAATCCCAGGAATATATCCCACTTGATCATGGTGTATGATCTTTAAAATATGCTGTTGAATTCAGTTTGCTAGTATTGTGTTGAAGATTTTGCATTTATGTTTGTCAGGGTTATTGGACTATGACTTTCTTGTAGTGTACTAATCTGACCTTGAATATCAGGGTAATGCTAGCCTCATAAAATGTGTTTGGGAATGTTCCTCCTCTTCACTTTTTTTAAAGAGCTTGGGAAGGATTGGCATTAATTCTTCAATGTTTTATAAAATTTCCCAGGGAAACCATCTGATCCTGGGCTTTTCTTTGTTTGAAAAATTTTGATGAAGGTTCACTTTTCTGACTCATTCAGATTTTTTATTTCTTCATGATTCATTCTTGGTAAGTTATATATTTGTAGGCATTTATCCATTTCTTTTAGGTTATCCAATTTGTTGGTGTATAATTATTCATAGTAACTTTCCTATGATTCTTTGTATTTCTGTGGTATCAGTTATAATGTCTTCTCTTTCATTTTTTATTTTATTTGAAACTTCTTTTTTTTTCTTAGTCTAGCTACAGGTTGTCATTTTTGTTTATCTTTTTCTTTTAAAAAAACAGCTCTTAATTTGTTGATATTTTCTATTGCTTTTCTGGTCTCTACTTCATTTATTTCTGCTCTGATCTTTGTTTCTTTGTTTTTCTGCTACTTTTGGCTTAGTTTGTTCTTTTTTTAGTCCTTGAGGTATAAAGTTAAGTTGTCTATCTGAGAGCTTTCTTTTTTTTTTAATATAGGCATTTATTGCTATAAACTTCTTCTTGGAACTGCTTTTCTTTCATCTCATAAGTTTTGGCATGTTGTGTTTCTATTTTTGTTTCAAGATATCTTTTGATTTCTTTGATGCATTGGCTTTTCAGGAGCGTATTGTGTAATTTCCACATGTTTGAGTTTTCTGGTTTTGTTCCCATTACTGATTTTTCATTTCTTGCTATTTTGGTCAAAAAGAGAGGTGGTATGATTTTAGTATTTTGAAATTTGCTAAGACTTGTTTTGTGACCTATTATATAATCTATCCTGGAGAATATTTCATATGCACTTGAAAAGAATGTGTATTCTGCTGCCATTGTATGGGAAGTTCTTATATGTCTGTTAGATTTATATCTAAAGTATAGTTCAAGTCCAGTGTTTTCTTTTTGATTTTCTGTCTGGATGATCTATTCATTGTTGAAAGTAAGGAATTAAAGTACCCCACTCTTTATTGTATTGTCTAATTTCACTTCAGATCTGTTTTTATTTGCTTAATATATTTAGGTACTCTGGTGTTGGGTGCATATTTATTTGTGATTGTTATATCCCCTTGATGAGTTCACTCTTTATCATTATAAAGGTTTATCATAGCCTTTGTCTCTTGTTACTGTTTTTTGCTTAAGGTTTATTTTGTCTGATGTTAGCATAGTTATTCCTGCTCTTTGGTTTCCACTTGCCTGGGATATGCTTTTCCATTCTTTCACTTTGAGCCTATGTCCTTAAAGCTGATGCGATTCTCTTGTAGTTGGGTCTTTTTTAACCATCCAGCCATTTTATGACTTTTGATTGGAGAATTTAGTCCATTTACATTTAGAATAATTATTGCTAGATAAGGACTTAATAATGCCATCTTATTAATTGTGGTCTGGCTGTTCTATAGTTCTGTTGTTCCTTCCTCCCTCTCTTGCTATCTTCTTTTATGACCTGATGATTTTCCATAGTGGTATCCTTTGATTCCCTTCTCTTTATCTTTTTTGAATCCAATGTAGATTTTTGCTTTGTAGTTACTGTGAAACTTACATCAAGCATCTTAACAGCCTGTGTTATGCTGATAACAACTTCTATTGCATACAAAAGCTGTACCATTTTATTTTCTTTTATGTTTTTGATGTCACAAATTACCTATTTTTATATTCTATATTCTTTTTTTTTAAAGATTTTTTTTATTGGGGAAGGGGAACAGCCAAGTTATTGTCCTTCAATCTTAGTTGTGGAGGGCACAGCTAGCTCAGCCCCAAGTCCAGTTGCCATCGGCCACATGTCGGCATTTCACGGCAGCTCAGCTCAAGGTGCCATGTTCAATCTTAGTTGTGGGTGGGTGTAGCCCACCATTCCATGTGGGAGTCAAACCGGCATCCTTGTTGTTAAGAGCACACGCTGTATCTCCTGAGCCACCCAGGTGGCAGCTCAGCTCAAGCTGCCGAGTTCAGTCTTTAATTGCGGGCAGGCGTAGCCCACCATCTCAAACAGGCAACCTTGTTGTTAGGAGCACGTGCTCTTACCAGCTGAGCCACCCTGCCACCTATTGACATCTCAGTGGCAGCTCAGCTCGGGCGCAGCTCACTGGCCCATGTGGGAATTGAACCAGCCATCCTGTTGCTCAGAGCTCGCGTTCTAACCAACTGCGCCATCCGGCCAGCACATATATTGCGTATTCTTTACCAAATTATTATAGCTGTAGTTAATTTTAATACTCTTGTTTTTTTAACCTTTATGCTTGAATAAAGTGGTTAACACACTACGTATTATTAACCCCATACAGGAACTCATAAGTTGGAAGAGGTAACCACTCTTCAGAGAATATTAAATAATGGACAAGTAGGTGATTACTGAGACAAAATCAATTTTTGTTATACTTGTGAAAAGTAGGGCTTTTTTGGTGTGTTTTTGGTGTTTTAGTTTGATGGTGGTGATTATGGTTCCTTTTGGAAGGAGGCAAACAAGGCAGTGAACCGAAGCAAAATAAACTAACAAGAAGAAAATAATGGTGGATTTAACTTTGAAGATACCATTACTCTTTTAAAGTGTTTTCTAACAAAGAACTGTGACTTTTTTTTTTTTTTTCAGACTGCCCTGGCACATTTAGAGTCTCTTGCAGTAGATGTGGAGGTGGCCAATCCACCAGCCAGTAAGGAGAGCATTGATGGTCTTCCAGAGACCCTCGTTCTTGAAGATCACACTGGTAAGGGCAAAGTTGATTTCTAATGTTGAATGACACATTGCATGTTTAAGTATATTATCAATGCTCCTAAAAGATAAAATACTAACTTTCATTATGTTTTCTATGAAACAAGATTCTGACAAACTTTCACCAAATACAAGAATATTTTTAATTTATCAAGTGATAGCCTGGGACAAATGTTCTCTACTCAACTTTTCTATAAAAACGTTTATTCAATTTCAAATTGTCATGTATTAGAAACATGTTCGCCAGTTTATTGCTCAAAGTCTGGTTCTTTTGTCTTTCAGAGGTTTCATCTATGAGTTCATATGTTGGTTTTGAGTTTTATTAAAATTGAACTTTATGGGATTGAAATATCAAATTATTTGTTGTTTTCAGCTATTGGTCAGGAGCTATGCTGTCCAATCTGTTGCAGCGAGTATATTAAGGATGATATAGCAACAGAGTTACCCTGTCACCATTTCTTTCACAAGCCTTGTGTCTCAATTTGGCTACAGAAGGTGAGTTTTATATTATTACTGTTTGTAAGTTAATATGTTAATAGTTCCTCCTACAAGTTAATGATGATAGTGGTGTCTTTTAATCCTGTTTTATTTATATAGTTAGTTGGAGTACTTTTTAATTCAGTTTAATTCAATTTAATTAAAAATTGGTTTACCTTTTAATGACTACAGATTAATGCTAGTATCAAACTATTTTACTTTACTAAGACTGTCTTAAAAATAATATAGACAACACTAACTGCTTAACATATTTAATCATATCTCTGAAATTTGATGTTTTCAAAAATATCTCAAGCAAAGAAGTCTTTGATCCTACTCAGAGTGCTGTAAAAATATACAGATAGTCTATCAATCTGTATCATTCATTATCTCTGCAAATGTATATGAGAAATGTTTAATAATCTACCAAGTATCTCTTATTCAAATTTTTTTATGTTGTCCTTAAATATTACTCCCAAATTTTAAGTATATTTGTATTACTTGAGGAAAAAGAGTTTTACTTAAATCTCTGTGAACTCTATTTTTGTGTAAAGGATATTTACAAGCAGTTGAGTATGAATTCCCAAATCACTTTTCCAGCTTACTTACTTATGGATATAGCTCCTTTCTTCCCTACTACTACCCCCTTCCTTTTTTCTTCTCTTTCTTCCTCTCCCTCCTTCCCCTTTTCTTTCCACTTCATCTTTGTCAAAACTCTACTTAAAATTTCTAAAATCCTATGCAGAAATGTTCAGATTTCTTTATAAAATCTAAAGTTTCTGCCTTGACTTTTAAGGCCTTCTATGAGCTAGCTCCCCGCCTATCTCTTCAGATTTACTCCCATACGTTAGCTGTGTTTGCTTAGCCTGGTGTGGTCTTCCCCCTGCACCTGTAAGATTAGATGATCAAGGTAGGTCCAACTTCAATTCAACCTTTTCTATTCTTAATATCCTCTTTCTTTAAACTTATGGTAGTATCAAATGTTTAAGAAGTATCTAGTGCTTTGTGTTCCTGCTGTGTTGCAGGCACTACTAGATGATTCATGTATAATTTCCCATTTATTCCCCACAATAACTCTGGGACATATTGGTGTCCTAATTCTCATTTTCCAATGTTTGATACACAAGTTTACACAGATAGTATGAGGTTGATGGAGAGTGCATCTATCTGACGCTAAAATGTTGCTGTTAGGCCCAATTTGAATGTCAAGCACTCAGTAAATGTTTATATGATTAAATTCTTGAATTGTGAACATTATATATGTTGTACAACTATGAATTGTCATTGACTTGGCTATAGCCCAAGGTAATAATTTCTGTAGTCTCCTTCCAGTTAAGAAACAGCTTAGTGTGAAGCCTTTCCTCTGGGGAGAAGGTTCCCAAAAAAGATACAAATCTTTGTCACCTTTAACAGTGTAATTTCTGCAATCTGCTTTCTATCAGGGAGATCTCCTTGGGAACAAGACCAGACTTGCAAAGTCACCAGATGACATGATTCTATAAACTTCCATTCATAAAATATTATACTACCAGTATAACTTCTTTCCCTGTTAGACCATCCCTCCCAGGTGTATGGTTGATTTATTTTATCATTTAGAAAACACCTAACTCCATATCTTTTTGAAAAGGAATTATATAGCTTTTAAAGAGGGTCTGTGAGGTCCATCTATACACTAAAGTGAGGCTTTAGTGTATATGTGTGTGCGCGCGCGCGTGCGTGTGTGTGTGTGTGTGTGTGTGTGTGTGTGTGTGTGTGTGTAAATATATCAATATAGAAGGCTCTGGGGGATGATTTGGTGTAATAAATGTGTGAATTAATTAGGTCTGGTTTCTCTAATATATGTATCATAGATTGAATAATAATCAGTTCACGTGAAGACATGGCCTGTGACTATGAATAATAATCAGCTCACTCTCCACTGCAGCACCCGTGATGAGCAGGGAGGATAGTAGACTCTCAGTTAATACTCACTAAGTAAAAGATGAGTGATCTAAAAGATACAAACGTCATTAACAGATACGATTTACCCTCAAAGAAATTAGTGTCTGATTGGGATGAAGAGGAAATAGCATCAAAATTTTGCCTCTCTGTATTGTGTGGTTTTGAAGTTCATTTGGTTTTTGTTTTTAAGTTATTTGTTTTGTTTTTAGGATAATGATACTGTTTTTTCTTTATTAAGATACTTGTGTGGCAGTTAAGACCTTTCCATTGGCTCTGAACTTCTGTTTTTCTCCCTCCAGTCGGGAACATGCCCTGTGTGCCGCCGTCATTTCCCACCTGCAATTATCGAAGCATCTGCAGCTGCTTCCTCTGAGCCTGAGCACGAGGCCCCACCTTCAAATGACAGCACTGCAGAAGCCCCCTAAACCTTAACACTTGAATGAGATCAGTCTATCAAAGTAAATCCGCAAATTCCTTCTAAATCTGATGTGCAAATAATTATATATAAATATATTAAAATGCTATATATAGTCTATGCCATAGTTTAGAAAGAGAATATTAACCTTTCTAAACTAAGTTTAGGTTTGCTGGAAGTACTAAACATTTTCAAGCTGAATGTTGAAGCAGTACATCCATTTTTTTTTTAGTTGAATATGTTATTGTAAAGCTTATCAATTAACTCTCTCCAGAAGAAATAATCATCTATGTGGCATACATTATTGGTTTTGTCTGAAGTACTGCCACTAAGTTGATTATGATTAAGATCTCCTATTTGCATCAGATGTGAAGACTGTGATCACAGCAGTACTAAAATTGGTTTCATTGGAAATAAAAAGAATTCAAAAGCATGCTTTTTCATTGGTCCCTTTGCTTTTGCTGCATCAAAACCTCTTGGTTCATAATACTGAGTGGTTTTTTAGCAAGGTGTCTATTCTTCCATCTTTGTTTAAAATTAGGACTTTTTAGAATGTCCAACAAAGGCTATAATTCTGGCCATGTCATCACAAAATTTTCAATCTTCAATGTAATCCCCTGGAAATGTTAAGGTAGTAAAATAAATTATTGTTTTATGTTGGATGTGCTTAAAGTAAGATTAGTAAAGCATATGAACAATCTAGTGTGCTCAGTGCTCAGTTCAGAATTAGAAGGCCTTACAGAAATCCTTTCTACTTGGATAAAGTTATACTTGAAGGTCCAGAACACTCATGGCACATTTGTTTAATAAATATTGGGTATAGTTAGTTTAAGGGAATTTTGGTTCTTAAATATTTTGGAAAGTCTGAAAACATGCATACAGTGTTTTTAATACTCATTCTGTTGTATCCTAAAGGAAAATCTGAATCCTTAAAAAACTAGAAGATTAAATGCACTAACTTGTATAAAGCATAAAATTGATGGTGCATAGGACAGGTTTGGCCATAACCTTTTTATAACATATCCAAACCTTACTGTGTTATAATTTATTTGTTTAAAGTATTCTTGAACAAAGATTATCTGTATTACATTATCAGTATTTGTTTCTTTACACTGATTTTATTTTGGTAAAATTATTCACCTGGAACTGAAAATAGGTAGTTTCAAATTAAGCCAAATTAAGCCATGGGTGAAAAGGAAGTAGATTATTCGATAGCTTAATGACTGTGTGAACAGAACTGAACATGCAACACAGTTTCTTGTTTTCCTTTGTTTAAAAGAAAAAAGAAGATCCTGTCCTCAGATTTACCCTCTAAAGGAGTTCTATTGAAGAGCTACTACAAAAGTGAGCAAATCAGCTTCCCTTATTCTTTTTCATGGAAAATTTGACCCACAAGGTCATCTTTGTAATTATGTTGCCCCAGGTTAAGATTGCACGGCTTTCTGTTTATGTGATCACACCCAGCTGGCAATTATGTACGAACATTGATGTAATACTTAACTTACAGATGTGATTTGGTATCGACACCAGAGAAGGATGTTAGAATATCACATTTGAGCAAGTAAAATAGTAAAGCACATAGTGAGTGTACATCCATTCAAGTAGTACATTGATAATTTAGTTTGGACATGTAAAAGGAATATTTATATGGCTTCCCAAATGCAAAATTACATTATATTTGTGTAATTTCTCTGAATATTTATATTCCATCCCCTTTCTTCATTCTTAAATGAATTTTCCCTGTTGGCACATTTGAGGCTTAAATATAAGGAACATAACACTTGCATTCTAATTTTTGCATATATTGTAAATGTGACTGGTATTTACAGCAAAATACTGTGTATCCTTTTATGGGTAAAAAAAAAAACAGCTGAACATTGCATGCGTGTAATGTGGTGAATTTGTAACTTAGGGGTTCTTTGGGGCTTCTGTGACTTTGGAAATGCTTACATTCAGGCCTTAATGTTGCATTAGCTAGCATGTTTCCCTTCTGATGTATATAGTCACGGTCGTATAAACTAACCTTTGCTTGTTTTCTACTCTGTGATCTTTCCATACTGTATTTCATTGATGATCAGTGAGTGTCAAGAAATCAAATCAGATTAAAATTAATTCTCATGTGTACATTGTGAAAATGTGTGGCTAGTGTGACTTTTGTTTGTTTGGTTTTTGGTTTCCAGAAATTCGTGGCTAGTGTGTTTTTTGTTGCTGTTCTCTTTAAGTAATATTGATCAGTTGTGACACTTACTGGTTAAACTGACATTGCTACAGATTTCTCTGTAATAAGCCACACATTATATTTAGGCAGTATTAAGGGACCTTGGTTTTTTTGTTTTGTTTTTTTTTTCCTCCTAGATAGCAGCTGTCCCAAAGAAAATATTTCTTCTTTGCCTGTTTAGATTTAGTTCTTATCTGCCAGTTTTTAAGAGGTTTTGGTTCCAAACTCAACCAGCAGTATTGAGAGCTGAACTTAAGATAGCTGTTGCACTTTTTGCTTTCCATCTGTTTCTGTCCTTCATTCTTGGCTTTCCTACTATCTATAAACAGCTGCTATGAAGGAGAAAAGTTGAATAAGAGCTGGCTTATAAAATTTTTTAGAAAGAAACTGGAAGCTCTAGGATTTTCATTGTAACAAGCTGAAAGCTGAGGCTAACAAGTTCAGACACCAAAGTATTGATCAGATCTTGGATCCTTTTGAAGAAGTTAAAAATATGTGAGGATAAATTAGAAATACATATAAATATTAATAAAAATGTTGTTTCCCTTATTTCTCTATTATATGTTACGTGACTTGACCTATAATTTTATTTTTTTAAACAATTTCTTCTTTCTTGTAATATGAATGCTGGTATTTAAAGGTGGTTTCATGTCATTTTCTTTTGTGTTTCTTAATTGTTTATCTCTAAGCTTACTAACTCTTTAGATTATTTGTGATCTGGATTTATATATAAGCTGTTAAATATATATGAACTGTTAAAATGGAATGCAAGTTTTTCAAAAGCCCGGGTCTAAATGTAATGACTGGTTTATTGTTCTACAACCCTCATCCATCATTTTCCATGTAAATCATAAACAATAAACAGGATATACTCGTTGGTCATTTCTAATATTTAATTGTGCAGTCATATCACTTCTATAATCCTCCCTGGAGGATTCGGTGTTAATGGTAAAGAATACAGCTGTTAAGGAAGTCTGGAAAAGGCCCCAGAGCGCATGGCTTTATAATCTTGGAACCGTGATCTCGGAAGGCCTGGGCATGGAGACCAGCTCTAAGAAGCGGTTGAAGGACTTCCTGCTGTAAAGGAGCGGGCCCTGTCCTCTCCTGCCCAACCTTCTTATCAATCCTGTGGGTTCAGCACAGCACAGCCCGACTTCCACACTCACTCAGGATTGCAGAAACCTTCAAAGTTCCAGGACGGATGCCCGCCTCGCTTCAATGGCTTCCTCCAAATCAGGTATGGCAGTATTATCAAATCTACCTGGTTAGGGAGATTCCTCATGGTTTCCCAAGGGTTCATAAACGTCACCCATTTCAGAAGGGTAAACTGAGTGATGATAGATTATGCCCATATTAAATTAAACAGAAAACTAGAATCATTTTATTTAAAAACTTTACAAAGTTTAGAATTCTGATTCTCCCTTCAAAGAATAAACGTGTGAAAAAATACAGTCCCAGAGCTAGAAACAGCAGTGGTACAGTATACCTCTTCTGTAGTGTAAAATTCACTTATAATTAATTATGTCACAGGATTTTTATCCAGCCACTGCTTCCAGAGTTGGAGCTACTCAGCACCCCTACAAGGGACGGATTTCATTGTTGGAAATGTCACCCAAATGTTTCCATAAATAGCACACATGTAAAATGACATAGAAAGGCCCTTGTCTCTTCTGTGTGGCCACGTCTTCATATGTTCAGGCTTTACACTTTTCTCAGATCTTGTATGATACACAGTTCCCCTGCGGTCTGACCAGAGCCTGGTCCAGAAGCACTTTTGCCACTTCAGAGTGATTCCCATGGACTGGCATATGTTGATATTAGTATCATTACTTTCATTGTTAGGCAAGCATATCACATTGTTGTCTCTTGCTGAACTTGGCAGACATTCCTGGGAAGTCAAGTCCATTCCTAATTACTTACACACTTTCTTCTTAACCTAATTGAAGGATTGCATCATCTTACTAAATTTAACTTGTACGGGTCCTTTGGAATTCTGATTCTTCCTCAGCCTTTGTCAGTTCCAACTTTAATGAAGCATGCCTTTGGTATTTAGGGGCTTTGTCCAAGTTATTGATAAATATTGACTAGAACTGGGGGAAATACAGACCCTCTTCAGAATGCCACTGTAGACTGCCCTCCCAGTGACTTAGATCCATTAATCAGTGTTCCACTTTGGGGGTAGTTGTTGAAGCAACTACTGGTCATTTATGTGCTCTTGTTTCTTCATCTTTCCTAAAAGGACACCATAGAAATGTAATATTTGACCAACAAGCAGATTACACTGTCTCTGGAAATAGTCTAATCTGCTAGTATATTAAATCAAGAAAGGAAATGAAGTTAGCAGGAAATGCCTCATTCTTAGTGAAACCGTACAACCTTCTTTTTTCCAACTGCTCACAT